CTTTGCAATGACTAAAATTTTAACATTTTTCTGAAGGGTAAGCCAAAATAGGGCTGACTGATGGAAGCAACCATCTGACAGAAAAATATTGAAGCTATTAAGATAATAATAGATAGCAATATTGAAGCTATTAAGACAATCACTAGCAAACTAGCTTGACGAATTTCATGCCTGCTGTGAAACTTTTAAATGGAGCTACTGCTGTGTACTAGCATATTTCTATTGAAAACATCAATGGTGATTTCAAAATCAATTTAGCTATTCATTTTCATTTCAAACGTGCACATGGTTACTCCTTTCATAACTGTTATAGCATAATCTAGATAATGTATGCATTCATATTTTATTTCATAACTTAATAAAGAATACTTCCCTATTCTGTTGTGAATGATTTGTGGTTTCAAGGAAGACATCGCAGATACAATATTAATATATAAAGGACAAAGCTCCCCACTGTTTCAAAATGAGGCAAGTTATCTGGTCCAAAAAATGTCAGACCGAAATTCAGGTAACTGTCCATTCGTGCTTTGTATTACTTAATTTTCATAATATCTGATACATTCACTGAAAAAATATGCCAGTGAATGCTTAGACTCAGACAATGTACCTCAGTCCATAGGATACAGGTCTAACCAGAAAGTCTGAAAGCTGCGGTGCTTTTGGAAATCCGAAATTTTCCGGGCACTGACAGGATGTCACAGTGGACACATGCGACCCATCACAGTGAAAATGCAAGGGTCCTGTAAGTATTGCAGCCGGTCACTGTCAGGCTGCCTGTAGGGAAACTCAGTGGGTCTCACGGTAGACTTGGGTCCTGCTTTCTCAAGAGATCTTGTTAGGTATGTGCCTATTCTTAAATCTGAAAAACACCTGAAATTCTGGACACTTCCAGCCCCGAGCATTTCAAAGAAATGACGCTCGGCCTAGGTAACCTTGCAGGAAGAGGACAGCGCTGTGGACTGGCTCAGTGGCCAGGCAGGGGCGCTGGAATCCAGCCGCCCTACGTGACCCAGGCCGGAGGGCCAGGTCACAGGGCCGCTCTCACCTTCTGGTTTATGGGGGTACGCAGGGCAGTGTCACCCCTTCGGCAGGAAATGCTGGGGCCCCTTCTCCGCAGCCTTCATCCTGCAGCCAGGCTGCGTGCACCACTACCAGCTCTCCGCGCTCAGCCGGCGCCCACCAAATGCAGCCGCGCGCACCACACAGGCGGTGCACCTCGCTGGCCCTGACACCCTCTCTCTCAGCAGGTCCGCCCACTCCACTCTTGCTCTGCGTGTGTTCCCCTGGCCCCGAACTCTAGGGCTGTGCGCGCTGCTAATTCCGTGAGCAGATTTCAGGCTGCATCTTACTGGCTCTGTGTTGAAAGCAACCCGATGAACTCCCTCTCCCTGGAACTCTAAAGCGGAGGGTGCAGCCGCAGAAGACCGGGGCAGGGCAGTAACCCGTTTTCAATCCTTTAAAGCCTGTCTAGATGTTTCTGTATCTCTAGCGCCCTCTTGCGTCTCCATGTTGTAATGTCAGAGGAAGACCTGCACGGACATCAAATACTCAAAACTCACAATGGAGTTTCCCCGAAAATAACAGCCAGCAGGAAAACTAGAGATGAAAACCACGAGCCCCACCCACCTATCCTCACTTGCCTGCTCTTGCTTGCTGGGTACTCTTTAAGGGGGGAGGTGACGGGGCTGGTGGGTTCGATCTCTAGTTTAAGGCTGATTATTTCCTGGCAGCTAGGTTTGATTTCTGGGTAAAGCGGGAATTCACGTTTTTTTATTCACTCACTCCTTGTGAAAACAATCCGAGGGCAGCATGGCCCTTAGGGCTCTCCTGTCGCCTGTGCATGGAAGCCTGCTTTTCTCAGTGAGTGGTTCTGCTCCACACATACTTTTAAGGCTCCACGGAGAATTCAGCAAAGCGACTCGGGGGTCACGAACAGACCCCCAAGGAGGGACCTACACCTCGCCTTAGTCATTTCGGGGTGGTAGTCGCCGTTTCCCGCTCTGCATCCTCAAACCCCTCCTGCAGCCGCGCCTCAAAGGCGGCGGCCGGAGCGCCAGCCCTTGCTGCAGCGCGGAAGAGTGAGACCCTGGGTCTGCACTTGGCCGAGCGGAGCCTCGGGGGGACCCCAGCCGCCTCCCCGGGACGGGGCCCACGGCGGAGCGCCGTGACCCGAGATGGACGAGACCCGCGGGCGGGAACGACCCTGACCCCATGCCCGCCCACTCACCGCGACAGTTCTTGGCGGTCACGGCGTCTCCGTAGAACCCGTCCGCACACCGCTCGCAGTGGGGGCCGGCTGCGTTCCCCACGCACTTCAAGCACTCCCCGGTGACCGAGTCACAGTGGCCGGGCTCGGAGGGGTCCACGTTGCCGCTGCAGTCGCACGGAACACAGGATCCCCCGGGTACTGTGGGGTTTCCATAGTAACCTTCTGCGCATCTGCATCCGGGAGGAGAAGCGGGCTGCCATCAATGCAGCTACCCAAGACATCAGCCCACTGGCGGGGACTCCCCAGGGGGTGGGTAAATCGAGCTGGCTCGTTCCCACAAGCTTCACTAGGGCAAGGGGGGCTCCAGGGTCCAGTAGCCACTGCTCCTCTGCCCGCGTGACCGACGTCCGTGCTTCCCACAGAGCACATGAACCCAGCACACGTGCAAGGGCTCCACCCCCGGCCACTCCGGACGTCACCAGCGCCCCACCCCGAGCCAGGGTCTGTTACTGAGACTCATGCACAGGAAAACAACACACTGCTTTCAGGCGCCAGAGGACTAATGCTAAATCAAGCCTCCTGTCACCTTCAGATCACGCAGAGCAGCAGGACATTCAAATGCCTGTGGCATAAATCCTGACTACTCCCTGCGGTTCTGGGCTGGCTCAAGCACTCCCGGAGGAGACGGGGCCCTGTTCCCCACACTTCCCCAGCAACGTTTAACATTCGCTTTTGACGGGGTACCTTGACTTTCCAATGCAACTCTATGCAATGGTAATCACACACCCAAGCTCCCAAACCACCCCGAACTACAGATTTAGAACTGATTGTGGACCTTTGCCTTCGCGTGCAGAACTGCACACTCATCCCCGTGCACATACGCAATAATTATGTGCTGGTTAAGAGTCGGAAGAAAGATCTTCACACATAAGCACTAGGAATGTACTGTGGACTGTAAAGCAGCGGCACCTCTCACACCAGGTTCCCGCGTAGCCCGGGGCGCACTGCTCGCAGACCAGGTCCTCCTCCTCGTCCAGGCGGCAGGTCGGGCTGAAGCTGCGGGCGGGGTGGAAATGAGGGAAACATCCGGGGAGGCTGTCAGGCTCCAAATGTAAACCTGTACTTTCCCTTGGTTCTGTGCTGGAGGCTGAACCCAAGGCCTCTGCCCGGAGCTGCACCCTCCTCTTTTTTATTTTGATGCAGGGTCTTGCAGAGTCATTCAATTGCCCAGGCTGGACCTGAACTTGCAGTCCTCCTGCCTCAGCCTCCCAGAGTGCTGGGATTACAACTGAGTACTTTCCACCTCACCTGTCCTTACAAATGAAGTTCCACAAGTCCTCAGTCCTTAGCCCAGGACTTAAGGAGTCCTTAGCCTCTGGCACCAGCCCCCACAGAGTCTGTTCTGTTCCCCATGCAGAGCTGTGGCCAAGAGCACTCCCTCGCTGCGCCCCGCCCCCCCGCCACTTCCGCTGGGGTAACTGGCTCCTGCCGTTGCCTGACCTCCTCCAGGAATCCAGCCAGGTTGCTCCTGGTGCCGCAAGCTCTTTCCTGTGAATCCCTGGCACTGATCGTAACAACTTCTTCAGAGTCCCAGCAAGCAGGGACTAGGGGGAGGTGCATGCCAGGCCCCGGAGGAGCAGTGGCCCTGAGAGCGCCCACTAGTGGCCGGACGTGGCTGAGAACGCTGCAGTTTCCGGGGCAGGAAGCTGGGTCCCCAGGTCCCAGGGTGGCGCTCTTCTATTCAGAAGCAGGGGGACCTCAAGAAGTGCAAACTCTGGGGGAGTCCAGGGAGCTGCCTGGGTAGAGCGAGCTGCCACACTAGAGCTAGCCCGGCCCGCAGCCCTCTCTGGTTCCAGTCCCACTTCGGTGAACCACGAGGTCCTCACCAGACGCGGCACTGCGCCCTGGCCTCAGAGCAGCGGACTGACCCACCTGGCTGTCAGCCCTGCTCAGGGATTTCACTGCAGCAACCAGAAGCAGACTAACAGCACCACTTTTACAGTGAAAGCTTCAGGGCACAAGCAGGTGGGGACCTTGCTGGGAGCGGCTGACAGGTTCTGGCACTGGTCTGCGGGACACACAGACCCCAGCTGACACACAGGGCCACCCGCACGTCCTCGGACGGGGAGTGCACCTTCACGTGGCCACCCCAGGGCAGCCTCTGCTCCTACTGCTGGTCACACTCCACCTCCTGGGAGTCCCGGAGCAGCCACTCAGCCACCCCAGCCCTGCCCGCGGGGTAGCACCACTCCCTGCACCCGACGTGTGGGGGACGGGTCTCCAGGACAGTCTGACCGCATAGGGTCCCTGGGGCCAGCAGCCCTGCTGGATGGCCTGCGACTCAGAGCAGCTCCCCGCTACCCTGCAGCCCTGGGTCCCCTGCAGGCGCTCAGTAAATACGCGCTGAATCACCACGTGGCTTCAGACTTTTCATTCAGTCCCTAATTTTCATAGTTTGGTCGTTAGATCAAAATGCAGCGGCCCAGGGCCAACGAGTTACTCATCTCTGCGTCCACTCCCCCCGGGACTGCTGGTCGGAGCGAATGTGCGCGTGACGGAATGCTGAGCAGCGTTAGGCCAGGACACATGCGCACGTGTGCGTCCTGGGGACCGCGCACCTCCCCTCGCATCACTCAACGCGCAAGCTTGCTAAAAAGAGGAGGTTCGCCACCTCCACGTCTGCGCCGTGCATCGGCACCGGCTCCGACCACACTCAGCCCAGAAAGGCCGGCTCGGTGGGGACCCGGCCAGCTGGCCCGGCCTGATGTGGGGGTGAGGCTTACTTGTTGGAGGGCGTGGTGAGGGGGCAGGCACAAGGCTGGCAGTCCCTGGGTGTCCCGCGGGAAGGCGCCCCGTAGAAGCCGGGCAGGCACTGCTCGCAGTGGTCTCCGGTGGTGTTGTGTGTGCAGCCCTAGAGCACAGGAGAGGAGTCAGGTGCAGGTGCTTTATGGATGTCCAGGTTCATCGACCGACAACTTGGAGCCCGAGGTTAAACACACAAACAGAGACAAAACGCTCAAACAACAGTCTAGCAGGATAGGAGGAAGGGTGACCCGTTTCCAGGTTAACTAACTTTTGAAATTGTAATTAGTGTAAAAAAGGAACCTGGGATTTTCTGCTCTGACCACATTAGAGCAAGCGGTGCCAGGTTTGTCCACCTGGAGGAAACAACAAGAGGCCGCAGCAAAGCGCGTCCAGCGGTGGTTTTAGACAACTGCACAGCAAGGAACCCAGTCAGGAGGAGAGGCCACCCTCAGAAGCAACTGGAGGTGGCAGATGGGGAACGAACTGCATTTTAAACCTAGCCGCAGGACACCAAGTTGTGCAAAAGCAGCCGGGCATCAGGGCGCCAGCGCTCAGCCTCCCCACTGTGGAAGTGAGACGTCCCCTTCGCAGCAGAGGACCAGGAAGGGGAGGGCGGTGGCGGTTAGACCCCGGCGACCAGAGTCCAGCTCAAGGGGAGGAAGAGCCTGACTGTGTGCAGCACAGCACTGGTCGTCTACAGCGATCCACGACTGACCACAGAGCAAGCCGGAGAGTCCGCAGGCTCCCGGCGTACAGAGACGATAAATGCGTGGGTGGACGGACGCGCTGCCTCCGCGATTTGATCGCTCCACGTTATACACGTGCATGAAATGACCACACTGTGCGCCGTAAGAGTGTACAGATACTATGCCGAAATATTTGGCGGCTGTCATGGGCATGCTCAGAGTGAAGAGAGGCGTAGACATGCTGACGCGAGAAGGGCTATTCAGGTACACTGAATGTGTGCCGCTCGTTAACGTGCACATATGTAGCATCTACTTATGTTTCACGTACACTGCGAACAGTAGTGCATATTTAATACATGTAGTATGTGCTCCCGTGCACACGTATTTACAGAAGCATGAGAAATGCACAAGTACACACCGGCTGTCACAGAAGCCACGGTGGCGTGTGCAGGACACACTGATCATGGGGCAGGTGTGTGGGGGCAGTGCAGATCCAAACAGCAGGGGGAGAAGTGTAAGAAGCAGCAGCGCCCCCGGTGGCCAGTGGGAGCCCTGCACCCTGGGAAAGCATCCTAGAGCCACTGCAAACCCCGGGTTCCTACAGACCCTTTACAACCTGAAACAACCAGAGGGTCGGCTGGCTTCCAGGCCTGCACGCTCCTCATTGCAGCTGGAAAACAAGCCCCGTCCTGTGCCTGCCCGAGATTAGCTGCATGCGTGTAAAGCCGTGTTCTGACACACATTGTTCATGAGAGGTTCTTTCATCCAAACTAATTGTACAGATACACGGTGCAGATGAGCATGCTGGTTAGAAGTTTTACTACTACTCCTGCGGTGTGCTGTGCCGCAGAAGGACAAAAGCCATGCCCTTCCACTGAAAAGACCTGACCCTCTGCATTTAATCAGTGGACAATGTTGCTGCCTTCATACTGCTTTATAATTTTGCCATCAGTAATTACTTTGCATTGTTTTACTAATAAAAAAAAAATGGGAATGATACACATCCCCTTTCCTGCAGCAGGTAGAGTGTCCCTTGGGATCTGAAGCAGTTTTGGATCTGGAATCTTTTGGGGGAAGAAGGAAATATTTTATTCACATAATACAATCTCTAGGGGTTGGGGCCCAACTCTAAGCATGAAATTTTTGGTTTCAGATTCACCTACACACGCGGCCGGAAGGGAGCATCGTGTCCACCTCCCCCTCTGATGCTCCTCCCAAGGTCAGGTGAGGAGGTGTCATGTTACCCTTCAAAAGCTCTCAGGTTCTGAGCACTGCACAGAGTATATGCTCAGATTAGGGATGTTCAGCCTCTTTCACTAAGAACCCCCACAAAGAAAAACCTTATCAAAAAGCAGGAAAAGTTTCAAGGTATGGGTTTGAATCTCCTAATTCCTCTTGAAGTCTCCAAAGTCCAGACCATCCTGTGTAGGAAGCAGTTTGTAAAAAATCACTTCTCTACAACCCCCAGCTCAGGGCTGAGGGGCCCAGGAGCACCCCGAGCCTCCGCAACAAACTCACAGAGCAAACGCCATGAACATCGCAGTCCTGCGCATGACCGTGGCATTCGCAGGGCTGACAGATCCCGCCGAAGAGTATCCCGTCCACGCGGTAGTAGCCGGGCTGGCAGGACTGCAAGAGAGGGGGCGACCGTGCGTGTGAATGCAACTCCTCACATCATCCCCTCTCCCACCCTTTGAAAAAGACACCGCTGAACTCGCCGGGAGCAGAGAAGTATATATCTTCATCAAGATCTCCTTTACATGCTGTAAACTTCACCAATTTCAAGGGTACAATTCAGTGACTTCTGTTAAATTTACTGAGCTCAGGAACCAGCTCAGAAATCTAGTCCCTTGTTGCATGAGAACGGCAGAAACAGTTACCCAAAAGCCTAGTTCTGTGCTGTGGGCAGCAGGCACCGCCAAGGTGTCCACCACGGTGGCCCCGAGCTAGATGTGAGGGCATGCTCACTCACTAGCTGGCATTTTCTTGAGAGGACTGTTTCTCTCAGCTTTGTATTCTGCTTATGTTTACTGCTCATTAAGGTCCCCACCCCACAACGAGCACACTCTTGTGCAGGTCTGGGCCACACGCATCACTGTAATCGAGCAAACACCACGGTGCCCTGTGTGTGGACAGGCAAGGCCACTCTTCCCTGTCACCCCACACGGGAGTGTCTTCACTGTCATCACAACATGAAGAGCAGCAGCGGCTGCCTCACAGACGCAGAAGTGGGACGTGGACAGCACAGCAGGGCAGTGTCTGTCCAGGGGATGCTCCAAGGCCAGGTGCGCACACCTCCAAGGCCAGGTGCGTAACCAGCTACCCAAAGCCCACAAGCACAAACGCCCTGAGACTTGGGGCTAACTGGATTCAGGATTAAAAGTCAGTGTATTCCCCTGGGGAGGTGATATTTTTTAAAAGAATTCTTAAAGAGTTTTTTAAGTATACAAAGGACGTAAGCACACGCATCTGCACAGACTCTGTGGAAGCCCCCAAACGTGTCCACGCCACTGGGCTCTTCTGGGCAGCCGCTGCACCAGCCCCAGGCCTGTGGGGACACAGGGACCTCATGGGTCTGCAGAGAGTCCCATGTCCTGCCTGCAGCTGCCCGCCTCGCTCAGCCAGGGGGGAAATAGTGGGTTCTTCTGCTGAGCAACGTCACTTGCCCAGCCGTAAGGTCGGCCTCCACATCCACAGCACCCTCACCCGCGGTTTCAAGCTACCATGGAACAAACCTATGCAGGGAAGGGGATATAGCTCAGTGGCACAAGCACCAGCCTAGCAAGTGCGAAGATCCTGAGTTCGATTCCCAATACCAAAAAAAAAAAAAAAATCTATGCAGGGAAAAAGTTGCACCTGTGCTGAACGCACATGGTCTTTTTGTTGGCATCGTCCCCTAAACAATGCAGGAGAACAATGATGTGGACAGCGTTTGATTGGACTGTGTATTACAAGGCATCTGGAGGTGATATGAAGCAGACCTAGGTTATAAAATACTCTGCCGTTTTATATAAGGGACACAGCAGCATGCACACCAAGGCACAACTGTATCAAGCTTCTCACGCCCAAAGGAGTCCGTCGTCCTGCACAGCAGCCCCTCTTCGCCCTCCAGCGGCCTTGGAGGGATCCGGCAGCAGCTGCTCCCCGCCCCTCCCCCAGTCTTGCTGGCCTGGCTTCTAGGTCCAGGTGTCCTTCCTCCAGGTGGCTTATGTCCTGCTTCACAGCCCAGGAGGGGGCAGGCACGGTCCATTCGCCAGTCACACGTTATGCACACAATGCTGAGAACCTACAAACTTTGCTGGACTTAAATACCCACAGTCACAACCTCAGAAGAGTTGTTGGTTCCAAAATAGGAAGCATAACAACAACAACAAAAAAGTTAAAATAAATAATCTCAAAGGCCAGGGATATAGCTCAGCGGCACAAGTGCCTGCCTGGCAAGTGCAAGGACTCAAGTTCGATTTCCGGTACAAAAAAAAAGTCAAAATAGGAAGCAAATAAATCAATAAACTGCAAGATATTTAAAATGGGATTATTCACCAATGGTTGTTACAACCACTGGCGAATTCCTACCATCTTGGCTAGTAAAACTGTATCATTTCTAATTTTTTTGTTTTTATTTTTATTCTCTTTAATGGTTTAATCAGTCTTGCATTCTTACATCTGGTAATCTGAGCAACTTTGTTGAAGATAAAATGTGTGATACAACAGCCATTGTTAATTCCTATCATTTTGTTCTGAAACCCTGTAGCATTTGTACTGTTGTTGTTTTGTTTTGTTTTTGTCTATGGTTGGTATTTTGGTATTGTTCTTTTTCTATTATTTTATTTATTTATTTATTTATTTATTTATTTATTTATTTATTTATTTATTTATTTTTGGTACCAGGAATTGAACTCAGGACCTTGTGCTTGCCAGCCAGGCACTTATACCACTAAGCTACATCCCCGGCCCTTATTATTCTCTTTAAAATAAAAAAATGGGATTATTCAATTAAATATCTACACCATGAGGTAGTAGGCCAACTTTTACTAACTACAAATCTAACGACAGGTAATGGTTCATAAAGGCAAATTCTAGATTAAATTGTCTCGCTTTGTAAAAATGAATGCCAAGAAATGACATCAATGACAAATGCTCATCATCACTGTCCGTCAGGGACGCATGGGAGGTTGGATTGCCCAGTGCCCCACAGCCAGATGGAGGTCACGTCCCAACACGATCACTTCCCAGCTGCAGCAGCAAGACCAAGGTACTGAGCCTCGCTGTGCCTCACTTGGCTGATCTTTGGAGGAGAAAGTGTCGGCACTGGGCAGCCACCACTGTCGTCAGGACTCGCCTGGTGAACGCACGGAAGGAGTGTAGAGTGCTGTCACACACACAGGACTTGCTCAGTAGGAGAGGGCTATTTCCAGTCTTACGTCCAAATAATTTCAGCACTTTCATTAATGGTTGCAAGTCCATTTTTCAGCATCCATGCATGATGGGTTCCAGGACCCCCAGGGACATGAAAACCCTTGACATTCAAGAAAGTCCCATATATAAAATGACATCGTATAGCAATGTAATCGAGTGTATATAGCCTACGCAATTCTACTGTGCACCTTACATCTTCTCTAGAAGACCTATAATACCTAATGCAATGTCAAGGCTTGGTAGATTGGCTGTTAAACTACACTATTCAGAGAATAATGAGGAGGAAAATGTCGGTAAATTTGCACAGGTGCAGTATTTTCTCTTCTGGAAGATATTTGATCTGAGTTGGTATAATGCACAGATGCAAAACCTGTACTTCCTGCCGGGTGTGGTAGCGCACGCCTGTAATCTCAGCACTCGGGAGGCTGAGGCAGGAGGATCATTGTGAGTTTGAGACCAGCCTGGGCTACAAAGTGAGTGCAAGGCCAGCCTGAACTGCACAGTGAGACCCTGTCTCAAAAAGACAAAAAAAAACCCACAAAAACTGTACTTCCTATGTGAGGTAGAGTCCACCATCCCAAAAAGGTAAAACAGCCAGGGGATGTAGCGGTCTCAGAATGGGCCTGGTCCGACACAAGTAACTGTAAGTGTTCAAAGGGTTGAGTTCAATTCTGCTTGGAAATGAGGCGTCTGCCATGGGTATTGTATACTTCTTGCCAGCAGGGCCAAGAGAGCTCCATGAAGTCAAGGCAACTTCCCAGGGCCTCAGCCCCTGCTGGCACAAGAATCCAGCTTTTTTAAACAGCATGATTTCTAGCTCTTACAACCCAATGAAGCCTCAACCAAACACTGGGTTTTAAAGTTAAAATTCAAATACTCATCATTACACCAGATTCAGTGCACCCTTTTCCCTCATAAAAGAACAGAGCAGGAAGACAGAGACGCAGGCGGTACCTCACAGGAGGTCCCCAAGTAGCCCTGGGGACATTCACAGTGTTCCACGTCAGTGGCGACTGTCAGGTCTATAGCATTGGGGCTTGCTACGTCCAGAGAGACAGAATCCAACCTACAAAGAGAGAATAGTTTGTGACTTCAGATGACACTTCTCACCTCAATGCAGATGGTTTCCAAAAGGATTTCAATCAAGCAAAATGGTCATGTGATATTTGTAAGTAACTGAAGACTTCCCCAACAAAAACTCTCAGGGAGCCAGCAATCATTATTCCCTGAAATTTCTCTGGTGTTTGTTGCAAAGATGTCTTATTAACTATAGATTGCCTATCTGGAATTGAAGCACTCCACAAAAATCCATCCACTGAGTCATCTTCCCGAAAATGCAGAGATGGTCCTTAAGTAGACTATGTTTACTGTAGTAGCATCCAATGTTTATGCTCAGCTGGGCAGTGCAGAAATGGGCCTCTTCCAAGTAATAAAATGACCAAGGATGGACACGTTACCTCAGATAACTTTGTAAAACTAAGTCTATTAATATCTAGACTGAGAACTAGATCCACATGGTCCAGGCCATTGCAAACTCTTCAAACTTATCTTAGAGATACTCAAGAGTGTGAACTAGAGGTCAAGACTGCCTCCTACTGGACACATTTTGTAGTGAACAACTAATCTTCCATCTCCAGGAGACCCACACTTACACCAATGACTTTTATGAGAGCTAGTTGCTTTAACTGTGTCCTTAGTACAACAGCTGTGAAACATACCATGGCTGAAATACACAATAACACTGCAGTCCCTTCACCGGAAGTACGCCTCCCTTTGATCAGGCACCTGTAAAGAGCCGTCTTCGCAGAATTGTAGTTGGCTCTGATGAGGAGGTGGGTCAGGTTGGCGAGCACGGTCATCAGCCGGTCTCGGTCAATCTCCCTTCTGGAGCTGTGATCCTGGAAGTTCTCCGGCAGGAGCCTCACCACGTTGTAGTACTCCTCATAGGGTTGCAAAGAGAGACCCTCCGCCTGCGTGCTTAGCGTGAGCCCGTTTCCCTAGCATTCAAAACAAGAAGGAAGGCACTTGTCACCACTGAACGATCAAAACAGCCACTGAACTGTGCACCAAGCAGCACGGCTTCCAGCTGTGCCAGCGTCCTGCGGCTAACTTGCACCGGTCTGTAAAGCGCTGGGTCCAGGATGTCTGGAGAAGAGCTGTGTCTGGGCTCCTTGCAGAGGGCTCTAAGAGCGAATCAATGCTGCAAGCTTGGCTGCTCGTGGAAAAGGTATGCACCTGCCCAGTTTTCATGAGCTGCCTATCTGACACTTTTAATATCCCCTTTTTTCTTTTTCAGCATGGGATATTGAACCCAGAGCCTTAGCACTGAGCTACATCCTCAGCACTTTTTAATTTTTATTTTGAGACAGGTTTTCTCTAAATTGCCAAGTTGCCCAGGGTAGGCTCAAACTTGCTATCCTCCTGCCTCAGCCTCCCAGAAGGCTGGGATTATAGGTGTGCACCACAACATCTGGCTTGACATCCCTAATCTTTAAAGAATAAAAGTGCAAAAAGTAGGGACACTAATGATACCTCCAACTCTTCCCGGAATCCTCCTTAACAAATGTGGGCACAGAGGTACTTAAAGTGGAAGGACACTAGAGAGAAGAACCCAAATGTGCCTCAAACCCTGAATGAGGCTGAGCTGGGGCTTTTCCCCACAAAAAGGGAGGGTTCACGGGCAGAAAGGTAGAGACAGAAGTGGGAGTGCACCTCCTGCCCCCTTGTTGTTGTCTGCCGAATGCATCCATGCATCCATTGGAGGAGGAGGCAGAAGGAAAGGGAGGGATGGCAAAGGCTCAAGCAGTTTCAAGGCCACAGCCCGAGCACCAGGGTTGCAGGGCGAACCACACGCGCGTGCTGTCTCTCTTCGGCCAACTCCAATGGGGCCCAAGACAGATTCCAGCACCCACAGAGTCCAGGCGGTGTCAGGAAGTCACTGCAGAATGGGCACTGGGCCATTTCTGAACACTAGGCTATCACCCCCACAGACCCTCAGCTCTACAGCCAAAGCAACGCAAAGACAGCAGTCACCTTGATGATGACGTCAGCATGAGACGTGAGGTCACTGTCCGCTGTCTCCACCAGAACATCGTAGGACACTGTGTATTTCAGGAACCCACCAAACGCAGTCAGCTGAAAAAGATACGTGAAAGTGAGAATGAGAGAGGTGCTTCTGACCCTAAGCGAACAGAAGGGGCTGCTAGAGCCCACTTAAAAATACCAGGCCCCAAGAAATGCACCGTGAAGCCAGGGAACAGCATATGACACAAGTGGTTTGTTGAATCTGAAATGCAGACTATCCCTGAAGATTATGCATGGAAGAAACACACACACTTTCTGAGGAACCCCAGTGAAAATGACTCTGAACTTGTTAATTACACACTGACTTTTCCTCAGTGATTTTGAGGAAGAGAAGTCTGATCCACAACTATAACTGCAGCACACTGACTTCCCCGCCCTGCTTAATAGAAAGCATCACTCCAGAGCTGCCAGTTAAAGGAAGGATCTCATTCGTCCTTCAGCGTAAAAGAGAGATTCTGTCCCTGATGGCTGGATCACGATGTAACACTCGGAACACAAACCTGCAATCCTACAATTGGACAGAAGATGTCAGGAGAAAAATAATTCATTGAACTTTGTTGATAAAATCACATTATAGAGTGTATGGTCTGCAATTATAATTTCATGGGAAAATCACCTTGAAAATAAGCACAGCTTCAGGGCCTGCACTCCTTAGAAAACAGTTACCACCATAACTGGAAACTTACCAAGCTACACAATCTCATTACCACCAAGGCACATGGTCACCTTAAAGCACACTAAACTAGCAAGTGAGTAGGGAGTTACGGGTACTGAGATGGTTCCTTCAAATATATTTTCTGACCAATCAGAATGGAGGAAGGGGCCTAAGTAAGTAATTGGGAGGGGGAATAAGAATTTGTCAGCAAAGAAAACAGCTTTCTGGGGCCAGGGAGAAAGCTCAGAGGCACAGTGCCTACTTGGCAAGTACAAGGTCCTGAGTTTGATTCCCAGGACCAAAAAAAGGAAAAAAATGAATAAAATGAAACAGCTTTCTGTGTTGTAGGTCACCCTTTGGCATTTTCTTAAAATTGAAACAGTAGCTGTCCTACCAGCTCCTGACTGCAAACATGAGCGACGGGCTCTCCTGATACCGAGAGCATCTCAGACCCATGCTGGGACCTAGGCTGTGTGTCTTCCCTCCACAGAGACTCTACCACTAAGTTCCCCAAGTGGGAATGGGATAGACACATCACAGAGGTCCACATGACCCAGGGACCCAGGAAAGGGAAGTACAAGGGTTAGGACTTCACATCTTAGACTATTCGGGAACTGGACGCAGAACCAAAGCCCATGTTAGGATGTGATCAAAAGCCAAACAAGAACTGCATAGTGCCGGGCGTGGTGGCGCAAGCATGTAATCCCAGCACTTGAGAGGCTGAGGCAGGAGAATTGTAGTGAGTTCAAGACGGGCCCAGGCTACAAAGTGAGCTCAAGGCCAGCCTGAACTGCATAGTGAGACTCAGTCTCAAAAAGACAAGACAAACACACACATAAAAAAAAAGGATCTGCATAGTGATGGAGACCACGACGAAATGGTGCTAATCAGGCTTTAATCAACTGACTTTCTATATTACGAGTCTGTTGCAGGCATATATGATTTTCCCAAAAAACTGGTGATTGGCGTACAGTAAATATAACTCTCCATGTCAGTGGTCACAGTAGAGGTCAGTACTGGTTCATGACACAGTGACACCTCTGAGGGCAAGATAAGGCTGGAGCTGAGGACATGTGACTCTCATTCCAACTCCAAGGCAATAAACTGCCAACCTAAGAGATAAGACAGTTCTCCCAGTTAGCGAGACTTACTGCTTGGAATGTCTTCGTTCTGATTTCTCAAGGCGTTGGTCAGTTTCTCACCTTTACCTCAGCTACTCCCTTCACTGCCTTACACGACCCTGAATTTCTTGAAAGTGCAATAAATACTAGCAGTCCAGAGAAGTTTCTGTCTTAGCTCCGAGAGAGTTTTGACCTGTCTGACTCCAAAACCACACTACCTGTCTGTTTTATTTAAGCCTTTTCTATAGTACACTCGTTTTAACAGATCAGGGGCCCCGTCAAGCTTCCAGTGACATAAACTCCGTGTGGCACATCTAAGTTAAAGGCTGTGAGATGCTCTACTCCTGGCCACACACAGCTTCAAACGCACAAATAGAAATTCTTCCCAAGCACTCTGTGACCTCGTCCTCAAATCTCAACCCCAACGTGCACATACCTTGTTTCCCAGGTAGGCCTCGGGGGCTGACCAGTAATACCTGGCGCCCAGCCTCTGAGTCACCTCCGCGTGGCTGATGCTGATCCGGCGGCGTCCGCCCACCACCTCCTGCTGGGACTTGATCTTCCTGCCACTGACCAAGTCTGTGACCAGCCAACCAGACATGTCATTCACCTTTGAGAGAATTCAAGAATTTTACAGCATGAGATTGAGATAGCCTTGGGTTTCATTCAGTCTTGTGCAAATATCTTCACAATGAAAAGGCAGACTCACTAAGCTTCGCTAGGAAGGAAGTTAAAATAATTATTGCCATCAAGACACAGAACACATGACCCTTCTAAGAAAGCTTGGGAACAAGACACATATGCCAAATCAGCTAAGCACAGATTAAAAAAAGCAAAACCATAAATGTTGTAGAAAATTTTATATATATATATATGTGTATATATATATATATAAACATCTGTGTGTGTGTGTGTGTGTGTATATAAAACACTTGGATATATATATATATATCCATATATATCCAAGTGTTCCAAAACTCAAAGCTTTTTGGGCACCAACACAACACCTCAAGTGGAAAATTCCACATCTGACCTCATGTGATAAGTTTAGGTCAAAATGCAGGTGCACAAAAAATACTATATAAAATTACCCTCAGGCTGTGTGGGTGAGGTGCGTGTGGAATGTCAATGAATGTGGTATGCGGACTTGGGCTCCACCCCTGAGCTATCTCATGTATATGCACATAGCCCAACATCTGAAAAAAATCTGAAGCCAAAACTACTTCTGGTCCCCAGCATCTCAACGTGTACATGCAGTGAACCAAATGCTTTTACAAACTCTGACTCCCCCTTCCCGTTTTCTACCCAAACGCTAAAAAATCTGTAACCTTCAGATGCAGAGCTCTTAACCCCTCCCCACACACACAGTGTGGTGCTCACAGTGGTCACCAGAGGGTCAGCCTGTGCCCAGCATTCCTCCCTTGGCGCCACTGGCCACCTCTGGAACTTAGGTCCCAGCACTTCCCCTCCCCAGAGTGGCCTTACTGCCCTGAACACCAAGCCACCAGTTGCTGCCCCGCCCCTCCCAACCCCAGCTTCTTACACCCCTGAGATTCTCAGGTCCTGCGGGCTCCTGCTGGAGAGGAGGGCCAAGTGAGTGGGAGCCGATCACTCCACTTGAAAGATACAGGACGCGTCCTGTGAGCCCACATCCGCCTGCCCGACTGGTGGGAAATGTGTATGGGAACAAACATGCAACTCAAAAAGTTTAGGGAGACTTTCAGGGGTGGACTGAGTCTGTCTGACCCTGGCAGATATGAGTTCTTTTTCTTTTTCTTTTTTTTTTTAATTTAAAGAGTAAAAGAAGGATAACATAGTAATAGGGAGACTTACAGAATTACAGACAAAGTGGTAGGAAGTTATCAAGCATTTTTTTTTTTTTTTTTTGGTACTGGGAATCAAACTCAGGACCTCGCGCTTGCCAGGCAGGGGCTTATGCCACTGAGCTGTCTCCCTGGGCCCAGACATGATTTCAAAGGGATGAGAGCGGTGTTTCAGGCTCAGGAGCCTCATCACCTGGAATCAGCAGAGAGCTCTGGAGCGGCACTATCCCCCAGACCCAGTGAGCATGAAAGGCCACCCACCTGCCCAAGGGGCCAAGAAAGGCTGTCGCAGACGCCGGAGACACCGAAGCAGAAGCATTCGGAGCAGCCCTGGGGGTTCTTCTCCTGCAGGTTGTAGAACCCGGGCTTGCAGTGATTGCAGGCTTCCCCCTCAACGTTGTCCTGCAAGTTACCAGACAGGATCAGCGGGGAAGCCGGACAGAAGACTGGTGTGACATGAACAGTAAGGGGAACCGGCAAGCCACACACGCGGTACGGTACATAGGGAAAAGTCAGTGTTCCCAGAATAGATAGACTGAAAAAATTATTTCTCTCTTTTTTTTTTTTTTCTTTTTGAGACAGGGTCTCACTGACCTTGAGCTCACTTCGTAGCCCAGGCTGGCCTCAAACTCAGAACGATCTTCCTGCCTCAGCCTCCTGAGTGCTGGGATTACAGGCGTGCGCCACCACGCCCGGCTTATTTCATTTTTATAGCCAAGAACAAGACCAAGAATTTTAGAGCTTGGTCACTAGGTTTAAAATGATTGTTTCATTTTGCCTTAAGCCTTCCATTCTTGCTAATCACAGAAGCATTGGAAAATCTCTAGCGGGTTATATAGGTGTGTTTATTCATTACAAATATGCAAGATTATTTTCAGTCATGAAACATGTGCCCAAGGCTCTGCGTGTGTGGGAGTAACACACAGGTACAGTGAGAAATCCCAAGAAATCAGGGAATTCATTATTAATATCATCTGGCCAAATAAGACCCTCCCTGTGCCAGAGGAATGCATTTTGTTAAGCTTGTTGCTCCATTCTTTTTAACAGAGATCCCAGATAACAGCCCCGTACTGAATTAGTGCCCCTGGAAACCGAGTACTGACCCGGTCCCACTCCAGAGGCCATGCTGGAGAAAAATGTCAGGGAAGAGCTAAGCCAAATCAGAGACATGGCATGCAGTATTGGCTTTCACCTAAGAAGTCACAGAAAGGCACCTGGAACAGATGGCCCTTGCCCAGAAATACCAAAGTACAAAGCCAGGTGGCCTCGAGGTCCAAGGACTCATCACAGGGCCAGCTGGCTGGGACGCCATGCTTGCTGGGACCGGCACCGCTAACCCTCACCGCAAGGACAAGGGTCTGTGCCAGCGAGCGCGTCCCAGTTCTAGAGAGGCCCAGAGGAAAGCAGCGCATGTCTGCCTCACACTGACCTTGCAGAGACACGGCTCAGCACACGGGTCGTCGTTCACGCTGCCCGCCAGGCTGCAGTCACAGCGCACGCAGTTCGGGAAACCCTTGTAGCCAAACTGGCAGCGGTCGCACCTCTCTCCTCCGTAACCTTCTTTACAGGGACACTGCCCTGGCCAGAGCCCTGGGGACAGACACCCGGCACCAGGTGAGAGAGGCCAAAAGCAAACAAAGGCCAACTTTCCTGTCAAGGGCCAGAGCGCATATTCTAGGCTCTGGGCAAGTCCCTGCTGTCACCATTCAGCTCAGCCATTCCTGCTCAAACACAGCGCCCCAGTCACAGCTCGGTTATGCACAAAGGGAGGAAGTATGTGGCAATGGCCCGTGGACCACACAAATGACCAGGTCTTGGTTTAAAGAAAAAAAAAAAATCCAAGAGAAGAACCTCACAGAGACAGGTGGGAATGTGGCATGGTGCAAAAACCTCAGAAAGTGAGCTAGCACTTCTTCTAAATGGTATGTGTGGGAGGCTGAGGCAGGAGACTGGCAGTGAGTTTGAGGCCAGCCTGAGCTACACAGTGACTTCAAGGCCAGTCTGAACGACATAGTGAGACCCTGTCCCAGAGAAAGAAAAACATTATATATACAGTTGCCACATGATTTGAACGTTTTACTCCCAAGTAAATGCCCACAAAAAAGAAAATATATTCCACAAAAACTCCTACACAAACGTTCACTGCAGCATTATTGAAGACCACCATGTATTCATCAGCTGAGGACCGGAGAGCTAAGACATGACAGAGGCTTCCTACAGAATACGCTTCAACCATAGAAAGAGATGAAACACTGGGACACACTGCAATGTGCAGGACACTTGAAAACACTGCAGTACGAGAGAAGCCAGTCACAAGGGAATGTCATAATAGACAGCTCCCCTTACATGAACCGTCCAGAATAGCAAGGTTGTGCAGACAACGTAGATTGTTCACTGCCTGGGCCTCAGATGTGGGATGCAGGGTGCAGCCAGATGGGGACTGACTGCTCAAGGCTACCAGTTTCTTCATGGGGTGATGAACTGTTAGACTGTGGTGGTAAAGACCCAAATTGTAATGCGAGAACAGCAGTCAGTTATAAAACAAACTGGGCATAGCCGCAGGCCCCTGTAATCCCAGCATTCTGGAAGGCCGAAGCGAGAAGATTGCAAGTTGTAGCCCAGCCTGGACAACTTGCAACTTACTCAGGCCCTGTCTCAACATAAAAACTGAAAAAAAAAAAAAAAAGAACTGGGAGTATTGTATAAGTTGTAAAACAGTTTTCAAATAAAGCACAGAGGCAAATAAACTGTGCAGAGCCACAGCACCACTTTTGCTTGGAAAATCAACTCGGAATCTTACCAGCTGTGTGATCCCCGTGCACTTTCTTCGCTGCTCTGAGCTACACCTCGCTTGCCTACAAGATGGGTTAAAAACTCCTATCTGCTATGGCTGAAAAGCTTGGGTGGTGTTTTTTAAGTGAACGCAGTTCAGGATCACTGTCAGCAGCAGCAGCAGCAGCAGCAACCTCGTCCTGTGTCAGTGCACAGGTGGGAGGCTCAGAGCCGAGGGTCCTTCTCCCTCCCTGCCTGGCGCCCAGTCGCACACCCGCCCCTGCTGGCCCACAGCCGCTTCACTGACACTGGCTGGGCTCACAGAAGTGTTTTAACAGATGTGATTTATTCAGGAAACAAATAGAAAGGACGCTGGCATTTCCAGAGTTACGTGGAAGATCCGCTTGCTTGGTGGGGCGGCAGACGCAAAAGCCCTCACCTCAGAAGAGCGACACGGAGCAACTGCTGTTTACTGTGTTCCACACACGGCTTACACTGAACCCCGTTTCCTATGCCCTCAGATGTGCAGTGATGACCTCCCCACACGTCATCTCATCACCCAACACTGTCACCTTCACACCCACCTCCCTTCCACCATGATTGCTAATCTTCCTCCATGCCTGCAGCATTATGCTTCCCAGAATTCTACTCGTGCACCTGTTCCTTCACATTTCCAGTGGGCAAGATCTGACCACGCCACTCACATATACCTCCTGGGTTCCAGAAAACACCCCGACACAGTGCAAGGTGCCTGCCAAAGTTTTGCCGAGCAAAAGAGTCAGACCACCCAATTGCCATACAATGGTAATAATTCCAGCAGGCACAAATCTTCCGGTGAAAGAGGGAAATCAGAAGTACTAAACTGAATCAGGTGCGTACCGTTGTGCAAGTTTGACTGGAGGTCATCCTTAACGCAGACGGAGCTGAGCGACCCCACGGGGTCACAGTCGCAGGGACGGCAAGGCTCATCCTCGTAAGGAGAAACCTGAGGCAGATGTTGTCCTGGTTAGCTTATGAGCATAACAGTGATTCTAGCAACAACAATGTTGATGGTATTAGGATTTACCTAGGACATCATCACAGTGACTTTGCGTAGTGAGCAGGACGGGTCTCGGGAGGTGAAAGTCCCCAACATATTTTGATGGTGACAGCAGTCTGTATCATGAGCACGGTGCTGCCCTTCCTTACGGCCCCCTGGCCCTGCTATCTCTCAGAGCCATTTTCCTTGAGGCCACCCCAAGGACTCATGGAGCAGCTACAAATGAAGTCAGCTGAGGGCTCACTGAAGGGATCCCAAGGGGAAGGTACAGCTGCTTTGGTCGTTGGCTCATTCTCCACGTTTATAGTGAGTATCAGCCATGACTACATGGTGGCTCGTGGGCTCATGAGTCCAGGTCGGACACTGCATGAACACCCCACTTGGAGCAGAAAATAGGACGAGGAAAGACAGAAATCGGAAGGACACCACCAGCACATCAAGAGCCCACATGGAGTTCCACAAAGGGAAGTCAGTCTCTAAGCAAGGGGCTGGGACTCGGCAAAGTCCCTTTCCCTCCGTGGGAGTCGAGGACGCCCAGTTCGGGGAGGGCCTACTTACTTTGTGTGGCCGGTAGTAGCCGCTGATGCAGGTTTCGCAGTTGATCCCCATGGTGTTCTGCTGGCAGTCGATGCACACCCCGCCTCCCTGGAACTGCCCCGCAGCATTCAGACTCTTCTTCTGATTCGCAACATTTTCATCGTAGTAGCAGTCTTTGGCTTTATTGTGACAGTTACACTCTGGAAGAGCATTTCGGCATCTCAATTAGCACTCACAGTGTGTCCTGTGCAAAGCGACCCTCATCTCCCTAAGCTCCTGTGACTATGAATTAAACTGAAACTCCAGAATTAAAAATTGTCTTAAGATAGAGGCAATGACCTGAAGGACAAAAGGAAAGGCTGTCAAAAAATACGTCTGCATGTCCACCTGACCCAGCAATCCATCTTCTGGGCTTATACTTTGAAAATACCTGGCAGTTAGCAATGACCATACCGGGCTAACAGCACCATGGACCGGGTCAGCAACAGACTGGCGACCACCAAAACATCCACCCAGGCAGCTGTTTAAATAATTGCATTACATCCACGTAATGGAATTCTGTGTAACTGCTTCTACAAACAGCATTTCAAATTGCCAGCACGGAAAGAATTTAAAGATATATTGTTAAGACAGGCATGGTGGCACATGCCTGTAATCCCAGCACTCAGGAGGCTGAGGCAGGAGAATCACCCAGAGTTCAAGGCCAGCATGAATTGCATAGTCAAGCTCTGTCTCAAAAACAACAACAACAAAAAGATGTGCTGTTAAGTATTAAAAAACAATGTGCACAGGCAACATAGTTCAGCAGCACAAGTGCCTGCTTCACAAGTGCAAGGTCCTGAGTTTGATTCCCAGAACAAAAACAACACAAAAAAGTAAATAAATAAAAAGCAATGTGTGCTCATATTACAGTGATACATGCATACCCATGTTTATACTGGAGCAGCACAATTCACAATAGCTAAATCTTGGAAGTGGTCTACATGTCCACAACCGATGAAGAGATAGAGAAAATGTAGTATTCATACATAAGGGAGTACTCTTCTGCCATAAAGAAGGATGCACTTGAGTCATTCATAGGAAAATGAGACAATAAAGTGAGGTCAGACACACAGGCTTAAAAACTACATGGCTTCTCTTCTATGAAAAATTCAACATATCAAATTAAGAGCAAAATAAAAGATAATAGAGAACGTGGAGATAGAAGGTGACCAAGAGATGGGGGCAGTTTACAAGGAACTAGAATGTGGGGCTGGGGATTTAGCTCAGCGGCAAAAGCGCCTGCCTGGCAAGCGCAAGGTCGTGAGTTCGGTTCCCGGTACCGGAGAAAAACCAAAGGAACTAGAATGTGTTACGCACGTGTACCAGCCCTGTGCCATGCATACAATCATTATCAAACACGTACTAATAAAAATAAAATAAATAGCACTGTGTGGGGCTCGGGAGTTAGCTCAGTGGCAGAGAGCACACTTATCCTAGACGAGACCTGGGGTCTAATTCCCATCAGCAAGGAAAAAGTCTAAAAAGCGGTAACTGGCAGAACTACCCAGGAAGTAGCACTATGCTAATGAGCCTCATCTGCATGCCATTTTAGGAAGAACACACTAGAAGATCATAAAGGTAGGAAGGGTGGAGGTGAGTGACACTTTCTGTCCTATACTTCTATGTGTTATCAGATGTTGGAATGCTGCCACTACGTTGCATATCTAAAAATTAAATACAAAGGAATAAAGAATACATGAACAAATGGGAAAGGGATCTTAGACGAAAGGCAAATCGATGAAGACCACTCAGCCCTCAGTGCTTTAGAGTTTACTGAAGTCACCTGCAGCTCTGGGAACCCTTCAAAGTTGTGAGAAAACGAGTTACCTACTATTACAAATGCCCTTAGGACCCCAGAGCCCTCAACACATGGACAAGAAGAAACCATATCTCCCCAGGTGTAAGGGCACCGACCTTCACAGGTGTTGCCGGAGGAGACGGTGCCCGGCCTCCAGGGCTGCTGGTGGTAGCCGGGGCAGCACCTGTCGCAGCTGTCCCCGCAGGTGTTGTGCTCACACTGGCACTGCAGTTGCTGAGCGAGAAGGGGAGTAAAATGCTGTCAGAAAACTGTGCCTGCAGAGTTTCCTTCGTTGTACTTAAGAACAGAGCCTATCACATCAGACAGACAGCAAGGCCTCACAGGAGAGGCTGGGTGGCTGCAGCAGACCGGCATTTCAGCTTTCGAGAGGAATATATGCAAACCTGGTTACAAACGGAAGTTATGAGGAACCCGGCAAAGGTAAACATGGGCTAACTAACAAGAAGTTTATAAAAAGATGCATTGACTTTAATGGGTTGGAAGCTCTTAATAATTCTTTTAACTATTAGGAGATTTTTCCCATCTTTTTCTCATGGATAGTTTTCAGATGTGTACTTATAGGCTTTTCTATTAAAAAAAATAGAACAATGTGGCACTGTAGCTCAGTGGTGGAGCATTTTCCCAGCATGCACAAGGCCCTGGGTTCAGCCTCCGAAAAAGGGGAAAAAGAAGATAATCCTATTCTAGAATACAAAACTACTAAGGTTAGAGGAGAAAAAGTATCCTCATGTGTTATGAAAAGGGAAGACCTATTATTTACTTACTATTGTGCTAAAATACATGAACTTTACCTTGGTTTAGTATCACAAAAATGGAAAGGGAGAAAAAGGGAAGAGAGGAACTCTTCTTTGAAAAATAAGTAAACATAATGGATAATTGTACATGGCTTCTGCTTGACTCTTCTATAGAGAGACGATCTTCAAAACTGAGAAGAGCACTGAATTATGATAAACGGTACATGATGGATGTCTGACCACAAAAAATCATGGTAAGGACTTAACTACAAATACCTCCTCCAAACAAAGCAAAATGAAACTATTTAAAAAAATAAGAGGGGGTTAAATCGTCTGCAAATGTTTCTCTTTCCTGTGGCAAGGCTTCCCACCTACAACATTTGCCTTGAAGGAAAAGAGAAATGAGGGTTCTACAGCTAAAGCTTCCAGATGGAGTTTCCCTGAGTCACCGGTCATGCACTCACCTTCGTGGTGTCATCCCACGGACAGCTGCGCGCGTGGCCGTAGCAAATACACATCCCTCCGACAGAAATGTCTTTGATGGAGTAGTAGTACTGTGGGAAAGGTCACAGCGAGAGTCAGACATCTTTATTTCAGGGAATAGAACATTTTGGTACTGCACAAATATCTGGGGTCGTGTGTAAGTCAGGAGTAATCTAAAATTATATGTACATTCTCAACGTGTATTTCATGTGCAAAGCATCTTAGTGCTCAATTAAAACCAATAATGCTCAAATTAGTCCATCAACAGAACCCAAAAGAATCTAAAACAATATTCCAACTTGGCTATAAAGCGAAGTAGTTGTCTCCAAAATCCATGTTGTTGAAAGCCCTAAAAATACTTTAAGTTGAATGCAGCAGCATCTATAAAGTATAATACATCACGGATGAGTAAGGTTTATTTCAGGACACAGTCTAACACAGTGGTGGCAAACCTATAATACACATGTTATTGTTTTTCTTTTAAGGCAAAAGATGTTGGTGTGCTTTTATGTAAACTAAGCTCTCAATATTCAGGTTTAATTGCATTTTGGCATTTTATGATAAATAAGTGGGTTTTGGGTTGCAGTTTGACACTCGGTCTCTAAAGGGTTCTATCTGGTCTAACATAAAAATCAGTCTATGTAAACTACCACAGTAACAGGGTAAAGTGATTTCCTCTTAAGATCTGCTATCACCACTTCTTTAATTTTTGCCTAAGTGCTAAATATAAGCGCTAAATATAAGCTAAATATAAATAATATTTTACTTATATTCATTCGACTTTGTCTACTGCAATATCGCAAAATTCACTTCTTTCTAGTATTATTTTATAGATTTTCTATATACACAACCATGTCATCTTGTTGGATTTCATCAGAACTGAAATCTCTGCTCATTAACAGTCCAAGTTATGAAGTGAATAAGCAAATTCCAGACAGATGGAAGATATTCATGATATATACACATCCGGGAAAGGATTTGTGCTTAAAGGGATGAAGATCTTTCATAACTCAGGAGTAGGAAGACTGGTAGGCCAACTTGAAAATGAACACAAAATGTGATCAAGTACTAATAATCAAATATTCAAAGTTAGCCATGAGAGAGATGCAGAGGGACATCACCGGGACCGGCCACCATGTGCGGTCACAGCTGTTGACATGAGAAGCATAGAGAGTGCCGGGCATCTGGAAGCACCTGACGGAACCAGAGCTCTCACACACTGCTGGTCGGACTCGAAAATGGTGCAACTGCTTTTGGCAAAAGTTTGCTCGTTCCTTAAAACGCTATTCCACACCCAGGCCTATGAAGGGCTATGGAAATATTTACTCACACAAGTCTGGTACACCTAGTGGCACAGTTAAAACCTGGACATTTTATTCAGTGTTTCTCAAGTTTTAAAATTTGAGATTAAAATAAAACGTAGCCTGACTTGTGTAAGGTGAGATGTGTGACCAGAGTAGGGTGTGAAGAACAGACGGCTTCACGCACCCACCAGGGCGCCGTGGGGACCGGATGGGTCCAGGGTACCTGAGAAGGCAACGTCATTGGTGCTATCACCTAAAGGTGGCACCTGTAGGGAGTGACAAACGCTCTTCAATGAAGGCAGGATGTGACAGCTTGGAAGAAAAAAGCCAACTTAGGAGGAGAACTGAAAGGTAAAGAAAAGACTATTTCCCTGAAACAAACTAAACTCTTCCCAGGGTCAGGGCATCCCCAGACTCACCCGTCTTGTAACAATAGGGTCGATGTCTCTGGGGTCCAGGTGGCTGAGGGTCATGAGATCGGCATTGAGCGTCCGGATGCGCTGCAGGCGGAGGCGGATATATCTCGCAGAGGTGAATTCCAGCAACTTGGGGGACAGGTCATCGGCGCTGGGTCTGCCGTTGATGAGTGACGTGTGAATCTGAACATGAAGATGCAACAGAAACGTCATCTTTACGTGTGCGAGGATACGGCCCTGGCTGTTTAACTTTAGGACATAAGCTGTAGAGATACTAAAGTGTCTACATTTCAGAATGTGTCCGTGTGAGTCAACCACTCGGGAGTCCCCAGGTCCTCACTCCTGTAACTGATGGAAGCTTTCCGTGCAGGGTCTCAGAGCTCGCTGGAGTCTCCTCCCAGAGTGAGGGGGCATCTTAGCATCTATCATCAGGCTATGGAGAAGCGACTCACGCATGCCGCACTCATGCTGCACAAAGACAGGAGACGGGGGCCGCCTGCCTTAAAGACACCTGCTTTCTTAACTAATGTCTGCTCTTGAACGAATGCAGGCTTTCTGCAGAACTCCTGTTGTGAAGAGCACTTTGGGGTGTTGCTTCATCGAGCCAGGTGTGCGGAAGCAAGGGCCGTTTTCATCACACTCGACTTCATGCAATGTGAGCAAGTGGGGTGGGCTGGGCCCTGAGCTGGGTTGCAGGTCGTCCTCGGTGCCCTCCAGAGAGAAGGAGGACACGGAGGAGACGGGGAGCTGTGTCACTTAGAGGAAAGCCTGGCTCTCTTTAACATTTCCCCAAATGCCCTTGACCTCAAGTTCTGGAAACACACTCTGCAGGAGAAACTGCGGGGGTCAGAGGGTCACAGCAGCAGAGACTCGGGGACCTCCAGGAAGCGGGGAAATCAGGAAGGGAAAATGAACCCGCGAGGACGCGGATCGTCACAGACACCACGCCAGGCTGCGCTGGGCGCCACAGCAAAGATCTGTGTTGACAGCAACCAGCTTTGGGCGGAGACACTGGCCCCCATGCCGGCTGCGTAACACTGGGGCAGGGGATCTGGGGCGACAGCCTTCTCGGATTACCTCTCCGTGCTCCAGGGGCACCAGTCTGGAGTAGTAGGAGGTGCAGATCACTTCGTCGTCAGCTCGGTAGGTGGGCGGCCCTCGCCTTGGGGTGATGTTGTAGCGTGTCAAGCACTCGGATTCGCTGATGGCGTAGTACTGCCAGGGGCTGAATGTGACACCGTCCAAAGAGCGCTCCAAGATCCAGTTTCCAGGTCTTGGGGCATTGGCTGCTTTGATGATGACATAGGCCACCTGGAAGACCTGAAAGAACGCACGGGCAAATCTGTCCAGAATCAGGACCTCAGACACAGACAGAGCAACGCTGTGTGAGCTCCGAATGGTCGGCCTCAGAGAAGCAGAGAGCGGGGTGCCAGTTCCCGGCTATGTGAGATGCGCCTGCGGGGTACTTGTGCACAGCAATGGGGTTACACTGACAGTGCTGCAGGAGGAGGGAGGGAGGGCGAGGAGCACAGGGAAAGAGGGGGGACACAGAAAGAACCCCTGTGATGAGCATAACCATTACATACCCCAACACATACTAATGAAGATTTTCTAAAGAAAGGCGTTATGTTGGAAACTTCCTGCATGGAACCAGGTGTGGTGGTGCACACCTGTAATCCCAGCACTTGGGAGGCTGAGGCAGGAAGATTGTTGCAGGTTCAAGACCAGCTTGGGCTACAAAGTAAGTTCAAGGCCAGTCTGAACTGCATAGCGAGACCCTGTCTCAAAAAGACAGAAAAAACAAATAAACAAACAAACAGGAAACTTCCTGCACGGGTAGATCTCAAGTGTTCCTGCCACACACACAAAGAAGGTAACTCTGGGAAATGATGGATAGGTTAGTGTTCATTATCTTGACAGTGTAGATTGTTCTACAGTGCACATTCATATCAAATCATCAAGTTGTGTGCTTTAAATGTAAAATTTTTAAAAATTAAAAAGAACAGTAGCAACTGCTCCAAGTGTTTACTGAGAAAAATATTGTGCAATGATCACCAGTGTCCTTTTATACTTGCATGTATCAGTTAATTACACATGTTAATTAGGACTATGTCTTATGAATATGCTCCAGGTGACATCTGTTTTCAAATTAAACTCAGAAAAGTACAAATAAACTTGCATCATTATTAACAGTATTACTATGAACATAGGAGCTGGCTGTACTGCTTCCAGCGTCTTCCTCTGTCTGGATTGTGACTGATACATTGCAATACACTGTTAAGTGTATTTTCTCCTAGTGACTTTAGGAGTCAAAGCATCTGAATATAAGAAAAGTCCGTTAACCACACGTGTATTATGATGACGAACGTCCAAAACCGACAACAAGTGCTGCTGAGGATGAGGAACAAGAGGTCCCACGCACTGCTGGAGGGAGAGCCGGATGGCACCTTCAGACAGCTTCTTAAAACAACTAATCATCTCTACCGCATGAGCCCGTGCTTCTTTGTATTTACCCATACGAATAGAAACGTCATAACACTTGCACAAAGATATTTATAGTAGCTTTATTCATAAATGCCCAAGTGAGGAGCAACTCAGAATCCCTTCAACAGGTGGGGAGGTGGCAGACCACAGGGCCTCCAGATAGAGGTGATAAAGCAAAGGAATTACACCAAGCCACCAGAGGGTGGGGCGGAATTCTCAAGGCTCACCATTACATGAAAGAAGCTACCTACTGCACGATTCTAACTGCACCGCATTCCGGAAAAGGCAGAACTTTGCATACAATGAGGTCCGTGGACGGAGAAGGACGGATGAACAGGGGCAGCGCAGGCCACTTCTGGGGGGTGAAGCGATGAGAGAAGGCAGTGCTGTACAACAGTGGGTAGACGACACCCACCTCTCAAAACCCACAGAATGTACAACACAAAGCCCTGATGTAAACTGGGGACCTAATAATACTGACGACGATGTAGCAACATGGGCTCAGCCCTAAAGCAAGATGTCACCGACCGACAGGAGAAAGTGAAGAAGAGGGGACGCTGTACACTTGCCGCCCCTTCGGCTGTAAACCTAAAACTGTGAAAGACAAGGGGGAAAGTCAGAGTAGGGAGGAAGGGAATGGAGAAAACGGATGGACGTGACTAGTAACAGGAAACCAGCCAGGCAAACCCTGCATTTGGAAGAGGCCTCTGTCCAGCACTGAAATGGATTCGTCTCTCCGGCCCTGTACAGCAGGGACAGGAAAGGCATTCAGCCCAGAGACAATCCTTCTGTTTTAGGACAACTCCCCAAGAGCATTGTTTTTGCGTTGATTCAAGGTCCTCCGTAAGTTTCTATAAACAAAACATGTTTGTTCCCACTTTTATGGAGCTATCTTTCAAGCCCTGGAGCGTATCTGTGGTAGATCACCACCAGAACCCAAAGTCTTTTCATTTTAGCTTTGACATCCTGGTTTCCTGGGGACATTCATCATTTCACATGACGTCAGCTCCTTGTCACGATGTTTCAAACACAACCATGTGTTAAAATGCAGTTCCCAGGAACCGGGTGCAAAACTCCAAGTGTTTTCCACACCGGAAGGAAACAGTAAAAGTGTCATGCCCTTTGTTTCGCTAACTTAGTTTTGAGAAAGAAGCATCCACTTTTCTGAGCAAACTGAGCTTTCTAACTCAGGCTGGGGCCTCGAGCAACAACGAAATGCCCTCATCCATGTGGACTGCTCACTCAGGGCTTCCTCTAACTCGGAGGGATTTCTTTCTAAAACCAAAGCCCAGTACGTTCTATTTTTTAAACCATACAGCCAGTCCACTCTATGGGTTCTGCCTCTAAGGACTCAAGCAACTCGGCTCGAAAATATTTTTTTAAAAATTGCTTCGGAATTGAACACAGGCAGGTTTTTTCTCGTCTTACTCCCTAAACACTACAGTATAGCAACTGTTATCAAGGGGTGGCTGAATCCATGGCACATGTGTGTGTTACACACATATATGTGCCAATAAGTATCCAAACATGCACGTGTGTGTGTACATACACCAACCCCCTGGGAAGGGAGCTGCTCTTTATTTACCCAGAGTCTTGCTGCTTCTGGGTTATTCTGATTTTCATTTTTCTGTTTTAGCTTATCCCCACTTTGGCACTCACCAATTCCAGGAACACAGGAGCTGTTTAAAATCAAGCAGCCACAGCCCGAGTGATGTTACACCCATCTCCTGACTCTAGGCGTGGGCAACCCTATCTCCTTGCGAAGCTCTGCTCATCTACAAGGTGTTCCCAGTGGAGCTGCGTGTGGGAGTGACCCTGGTCACCCCGTGCTGTTGTCCCCTGCAAGGCCACCACTGTCTCTAAGCACATCAGAAGCAACATGATGTCTTCAGGGTTTTAGAGAATGAGGACAAGAGAGAACACCCTCCTATTTACGCACTGCCGCCCAACGGTCTTGCAAACATCTTCCTCATAAAAGCAGAACCCTACAAGCAGGGCAACCACAGCCAGCTGGAGGGGACAGAGGTGAGGCCGTTTACAAAGGCTTCTAAGCTGGGACCTATTTGCCTTCTGCCCTCCAGTTTTCTGTTTGTAAATGGGAAGTACTAACCTACCACATTCATTCATCCCATGTAATCCCAAGCAAACCCATGATTGCTTCTGTGTCCCCTTTGCATATTTGAAAACTGATACAACAGAGTACAGGGAACAACCTGCTGAGCTATAGGTCCGATCAGAAACCAGGTGACCTTCCTTGGGTTATCTGCCCCACATACACTGTCTGCCAGAGCTCAAGTACTCTACCTCTGAGCAGCACCCAGTCCTGAACTGTAGCAGCAGCAGCAGCAGCAGCAGCAGCAGCAAAGGAGACTCCTGCCGTCACCTGGAAACCAGGTTCCTCACTAAAGATGCAGAAGGACAGCAGTCCCCATCAACTCTGCAGTTTGGGTCATGACAGCTTAGGACGAGTGAAGAGAAGGGATGGACACTGAGCAAGAAACAGCAATTAGTAACTATTAATTGAGTAATGGGTACTCAGTAATAAGTAGTAATTAATTTGAGTAATAAACTCAAACTCAAAATACAGAGCACTTACTGTGGTCAGTAGCAATGTAAAAATCTCCATTAGATCACTAACACTTTGAAACCGTACATTGACACTCTTCTTAGGAAGTCAGTACTGTTATCTATTGCATTTTACAGATGAGGAAACTGAGGCACAGAAAGTTCGATTTCATGAGTACAGAGAGATTCACCCTAGAGCTTGAAGCCAGGCAGCCTGCACTTGTGACCACTCTGCCGCACCACATCTACAAGTTGTAAGCAATCAGGGAGAAGGAAACCCTGGACTTAGGCAACTGAGGAGGAGTAACACCCAGCTTCTCCAACCTCCTGCTTATGCCGCAGGGCTTAATTCAGTTCCATGTTCCAGCGCCTTACCACACCCTTGGTGGCTTTCACACCGCGGGTTTATGTGCCGTGTGTACGGACAGGGTGCCAAACGCAAAGACAGGCAGAGTGGAAAGCCTCAGGACAAGGTCCCCCAGGAGGAACCGGCAACTCTTCTCTTGCGCAGTCTTCTGCTATGAAGCTGGTCATTGTCCTCACTACCCCTCAGTCCTCTTCCAGGTCCCCAAACTTGGGGCCAGGAAACAAATCAGGAGATTTTTACATTGCTACTGACCACAGTAAGTGCTCTTCCTCAGTCAGAGGAAGAGGAAAAGGATGCCACGACAATTCCAAATACAACTTGTCTTTACTGCTCATTGTTCTACAATTCTCTCTTCTTCAAGGTCCCCAAACTGGGGACCAGGAAATGAATTAAAAAGGGACTGTGAGTGGTTGGCCTGATAAAGAGGAAAAGGATGCTATGAAAACTCTAAATGCAACTTGTCTTATTGCTCTTTGTTCTCACAATTCTCTCCATAGTCTTCAAGGTCCCCAAAATGCGGACCAGGAAACGAATTAAAAAGGGAATGTGAGTGGTCGGCCTGATAAAGAGGAAAAGGATGCTACAAGGAATCTAAAAACAACTTGTCTTTACTTAAGCCCTGGGATGGGCGGAATCCTTGTCCTCCACCCTTATCCCACATGTTGCCATCCTCACCCCCAGAATCTCAGAATGCGACTGTGTCCAGAGATAAGGCTTCAAAGATGGGGTCAAGGGGTGACGAGGCTGACCCAGTGTGACGGGTGTCCTTCCAAGAAGCGGAGATTAGGACCCAGACACACACAGAAGGACAAACACGCGGAACCCAGGGAGATGATCACCATGGGTGAGCCAGAGAAAGAGACCACAGAAAAATTAACTCCACTAGCAGCTCGATCTCGAGCAT